TGTAAGATATGAATATGAATAATAATAATTTATAATTTATCAAGAGGTCTTGAGGGTGGTGAGAGGGAAAAAAGAGGAGCTGATATCACAGGCTTAATAGAAAGTAAATGTCTAGAAAATGATGATGGCAACATATGTACATATGTGCTTGATACAATTGATGTATGGATTGTTATAAGAACAGTAAGAGCCCCAATAAAATGATCTTTAAATTTTAAAAAAATGTAAGAGGTAAGTAATAATATGGGGCTTTGCAGAGGACTAAACTGAGACTCAGTGTTACCCTTTACTTATATTACCTTCCTTCTTCAGCTTTCCAAAACTTCTCACAATTTCATGAACCACAGCTGCTCCACTCTGAGGGTCAATGCCACCGAAAACCCATGAGTCTCGGTGGCCTCCAAGAATGATGTATCTGTCTAGAAAGTATCATTGCAAGATCACTAGTCATTTCAGGTCAGGAACATGGCAAACTTTAAAGTGGTTTATTGAACTGGCACACAAAGCATTCCCAAATCAAAGAGAAATCACAAGGTTCTTGAAGACCATATATTATTTTTTCTGATATGTATGTTTCTCCTATCTGAAGAAAGTAATGCAAGATAAAAATAATAATAAGATACAGTAATTGTAGAAGTAAGTTATTTAACCCCTAGTCCATAAAATTACCCCCTTTCCTGATTTTATATAATTCTGGTATGCTCCCTAACCTCTCATGTTGCGTCTAGTGTTCTCAGAATGAGAGAGAGAACACAGTGGCTGTGCAGTGACCTCTCTGCTTCCGCCTCCTTCTCCTCCACTTTCAAGATAAAGTTTAAATATTCTTTCCAAGCGGTGAGCCTTCCCTCTACATTTTCCACAGGAATAGGGATTTACTCTGCCTACACAGTTCTTGGGGAAATACATTCCTATCCAATACATCATGTATTACGTTTACATGTCTGGCTGTCCTTCCCAATTAACTGCAACCTCCTTGTCTCTAGTCTGGGTCATTTAAATATGTTTAATATCTCCAGCCCATACCTAGCACAGAGTTGGCACATACAAAGTGTGAGGAAAAGTCAGGTGTCCGTGCCTGGGTTTTATACAAGGGGTTACCTTGTAGACTACGAACTGAAAGGGTGGTGCCTTGACTCACACAACTCAGAAGAAAGGCCTGGCAGCCTGTTTCCAAACAGTCACAGCTTTGCAGACACAGTGGAGCAGGTCTTCCCTGCGCATAGCTTTATGTGTTTTTGTGCTTGCCTTTGAGTCAATGAATAGCCAGTTATTATATATTGTTTAGTATTCATTAGCGGTATTATTGTTCCCCAATGAAAGCACTGGCTGCATGTGAGAAAAGCAACTTAATGGTATAGGTTTTTGTAAGATATATGAGACATATCATACTAACCAGATAGCTCCTGAGGAATGGAAACACAATGAACTAAGACCCTATTTGAGGTTTATAAAAAGAGACATCACTTTAAATCTCGTATGTAAAAATGTGTGCTTGTGTGCTTTTTGAGAACTCTATAATTCCCATATCTTACTTCTAATTGGGTATTATAAAACAGTAGAGTTGGAATGACTATATACCTGGTCATATTAAAAGGAAAATTATTGTGTACGTCTCAGCAGTTTGTGTGTGTGTGTGTGTGTGTGTGTGTAAAATATACCTCAAATTCAATGTCTACATATTGATTTCAGTTGTGGAAAATAAAAGTATGTAAAGGATTTATTCATTCAAGGGGGCCTTAAATTTGATGTAAGGCTATACATTTTCATTTTTGTTTTAATGGAGATATTTACCCATCCAGAATATGTGATGAGTAAATCCAGAAAGCAGAAACATATCAAACCAAGAGGCTTGCTCTGAGTCAGAATTGGCCTCATGGCACTGCGTTTGGCTTGAGGTTTCCTCCCCCGATTGCTTAGTTGAGGATGCACGATACACTGTGGTCATGTGACTAACCTTGTCTCAATAGTTAGTGTTCTTTTCTTCACAGCACCTGTCATGATGGAAAGGTTATCTTCATCACAATAAAAAATCCGTTTAACGTTACTTTTAAGAAACTTATCTTGTATTATGTATTTTGCGGTTCTGTTAAATCCCTTAGGGTAGAGTGGCTTTCCCTTCATAGCAGTGTCTGCAGGGAAGGGTCATTCCATCAATGACTGAATCGATGATTGATTTACCTGGTTCCACTGCTCCTCTGAGAGTTCCAATCACATTGTAAATTCTGGTCACTTTATTGATGGACTGAATGTGCATCTTGACTTTGCTAATGAAGGAAAAAGAACACATTCTCAAAAAATGTGTAACATGTTACTGCTCACAATGAACTTTAAATCTTACACATTAAAAAAAGGGAATATATATATATTATATATCAGTCAATTATAACTGTGCATGAGCACTCCCCTCTTAATCTGCAGCTTCGTTTCCAGCTGTTTTTATTTTTCTGCCATCCTCTCTAATTGCTGTACACAAACAAGGTGTCCCCAAACAGAGGTGAAGTGAACTAGTCCTCTCACTGTGTAGAGAAGTGTCCCATAAAGCCCGGTCCAACGTTGTAGGGCACTTGCAGAGTTCCTTTCCAGCTGTGATCTGGTGGTGCTGACCCGCCCATTTTTCTGTTGGACGCAAAAAGTATTATTAGTTAAAGGAAAACTGAAGTTAGAAGTTACAGTGTCAATTGATTTTTCTTATGTTCTCCATAACTCCTCTGGAGCCAGAGATCGTGCTAAATGATTTGTATAAAACATGCCACCTTATCCCTAATGCAACTCTTACCAAGCCCACTGCCATTGAGTCACTTCCCGCTCATAACAACCATGTAAGACAGAGGCAGACTGCCTCTTTAGATTTCTGAGCCTTTCCATCTTTGTGGGGACAGACAGCTCGTCCTTCTCCCGTGGCCCCTACTCTGCCAAAAGGGCTATTTGAGTCACTGAGGCTCAGGGCTTCTAGTCAGGGCTTTGGGAGCCTGACCGTGAATCAGGGTTCAGAGAGTTGGAAGCTCATTTTGCCATGTCATTAAGCTTGCACATATTTTCACCCCAGACCTTTCTGGTGCCTCTTTTCCCCCCTCTCTTCCAGCCCCGTAGCAATTCTGAGCTGCAGGATTCAGGGCACCCGTGAGCTGGCAGTCAGAGCAGGAGCTCAGTGCAGGCTCAGTGCTGCCTGTGCGTGGGCCTTGGCCACCGAGGAGGACGGCCCACAGCACAGCTGAAAAGAGGGCTCCGCTGGCAGGAGGAGCATAGGGCACAGGGCAGCCTGCCCAGCGCCCTGCAGGCCATCTTGACCCTCTCCTGAAATGCTCCAGAGCCATGGCCACTTTGCCCACCATCGTTCTCCTGTGTCGCACAGTTCACCAAAGTCAACTACTGCTTTTTTTTACTAATGTCCCATGCGAAGTGTCACATAATTAAATAGTTGGCAAGTGAGGGGTAGGTATCATGAGAAATGGGTCGATATACATATAATGTATTTTTATATGACAACACATCTACTTCTCACTTATTAACTATTCCATTGCATGACATTTATGGCAAAAGTAAAAAGAAATCTATGAAACGATTCTGCATATTAACAAAGTCTGTCTGGCAGTAATCAACACCTAGGTGTGAGGCAAGAGTAACATTGGCTGTGATGGCTAAGGTTATGTGTCAAGGTGACTGGGCCAGTATGCTCAGTAGTTATGTAATTATGTAACTTGGCAGTTATTGAGGCAGGCACTCATCTTCCATCGTCAGATATGGCCATCTCCACTTTGGAATTAACATAGACTTTCCCATAATCGTACATTCTTTGGAAGCCAAGCATGTTAATATGTGAGGAGTGGGTGTCATAGCACAAAGGAGGTGGAAGGGAGTAAAACTATATAGGAATAAATGTCTTTTATATTATTGAAATGTAGTTGGTATTAGTCTGAACTAGATTCTAAGCAAATATATCAGTTATACTCCCCTGTACAACTGCTATCACCATAACTAAAACAAAATATATAACTAAAGAAGCAAGTTGATCCACTAGTTTGGAAATCAGGAAATGAGAATCATTCAACTCTATCCCTTTTCAAGACTGTTGTGGATACCCTGGGCCCTTTGAATTCCCATGGACCTTTTTGAACTGGCTCATCCAGTTCTGTGAGACAAAAGACCTGTGCTTTTTTAGTAGCGGTTGTGTTAAATCCATTTTTTACTTTCTATTACTTTGTTTTTTAAAGACTGTAAAAGAAAAAAAGCTGTTGAAAGTAGGAACTGTGCCATTTCTTTTAATATATACAGGTGGTCTTCCACTCTCAAATAAGCTGTCCTTCCAAAGTTCAATTGAGATCCTTAAGTTCTGAAAGCAAAATGCAGTTGTCCACACAATTGTTATTAATGACAGTGGCATTTGAAAAATAGCTAACAAGGCTGAATTAAGTCAAAGTGGCTGAGTTAAACTGCATCTGTATTTTTTGAAATCAAGTAATTTTACAAGAGTTTGAGAGCAGCTGATTATCAAACATATTGACCAGAGCAACCAAATGGTAAACATTACAGTGAAATAAACTTCACATCCAACTCTATGCTATTATATTTTTGCCTGTCTTCCTCTTCATTTTTCTTCCATAGTTAAAAAAATAAGTTTTCCTTTTTAAACCTTTTATATCAGTATGTAAAGTGTATTCCTAAGTCAAACTACTATTCTTTAATATGATCAGTTATATGCTCCACCCATCTCCAAGAACATCAGTATTAAATAATGGTGATAAAAGGATGAAAAAGGATGAAATGTAATGATTGCCATGATATCATATTAACCCACCAGACATCCCACTATTTCTTAAAAACGTACTCTAGGAGTTTTTGGGCATCACTGTATCCAATTGGGTGTACAGGAACACTCGGAAGACCAGCTGCCTCTGCCATTCCACGTCTGTAAGCATATTCTGCGGGGATAAAAATCCAATTCTCTCTCTATTAAAAATTTAGTGTTTCTCAAAAAGTTTTCTCCAACACACATTAAACACATCCTCACGTCACCCCTACTCTATCTGTTAAAAGAAAACAGACAACAATGTTTACAGAAATGTGGAGCCGGACTCTCTCCTCCATCGCTGCTGAGAATGCAGTGTGATGAGCAATCTAGAGAACCTTTGAAATTCAAAGTTCATAGAAATGGAAACTATCACCCAGAAATCCCATACCTAAGAAAGAAAAATATATATGTCCACAAAAACACCCATCTAAAATTGGTCCTTGTCGCCTTATTTACATTAAATGCTGGGTAAAGCTCAGGGTCTGTCCATCAACAGGAGAAAGAGTAACTCAGCTGTGGTGTAAGCCACAATGGACTGATGCTCAATAGTGAAGAGGAACTAACCGCTACTACCCGGTAACAGAGAGGATCTCAATGCACTCCACTGAGTCAAACAAGTGAGACACAAAAGGACATCTACACTCGGGATCCACTCACACGATACGCAAAACTAGGCAAAGTGATCTATGGTGATATAGATATTAGAAAGTGGTGCTGTCTGGTAGGTGCAATGGAAATTGAATTAGAAAAGGGGACCAGAGAATGTTCTAGATAAAAGTTTTTATATCCTTTTTGGGGGTGACATTATACAGTCTTTAAAAAATATTAAAATGAGCTCCTATTTTATAGCAATAAATGATACCACCAGTAAACAAACACATGCATTCCATCATTTCTTCAGATATAAGAATGTAAGATCTATTTTTTTCTCTCTTCCTCAAATTATAAAAATCTAATAATAAGTTTAGGTAAATAAAAAAGTTTGTTTTTACAATTTGCTTTACACAATTGATCTATGTATTGTGATGAATTGTATGAGCCCCAATAAATTGATTAAAATTAAAAAAAAAAGTTTGTGTTTGTGTGTGTGTTTAAAATGACTTAATAATATGCTATGTGAGAGTTATTTTTAAATTCTCCATGATAACAAATGATACATGAACTATAACAAAATGCTGATTACTCTTCATTTTGTGCAAGAAATGGTTATAGTAAGAATTAAAGTTAAAATGAAAATTAATAAAAAACATTAGGACAGAGAGGTTAGTCAAGAAATGTTACCCCAAAGCCCTTCATGTAAATTAGATAAATGTATATATTCTTGGACCTACCTCACTCACCCACACACACGAAAAATCTACGAGAACACACTGTGTGCCAAAAAGATTTACTAAGCCTAAAATACACAAGCTTTAAAGAAGTCTATAATGTGATGAATAAACTTGATTAAGAATAAATGTATAAATATACCACTGACAAATTTAATGCAAGTTATACACACAAAAGTATATACATACAGTCTTATGACATGATTTACCATCACGTGGCATGAATATGCATTTTTAGGAACTAAATAATCACAGATTTTCTTGCAGTCAAATTGAAGAGTCCATTTAAAATGAGTTGCTTCTTTGGTTAATGATCTACTTACTGCTTCACAGAGGGCCTTCCAGCATGAGGAAAGCATGTGCACTGTGGGTCACTTCAAGCAGATAACTTACCTCACAGTCTAACTTTCCTCTCCTCTGTAAAACAGAGATAGTAGTACTGCCTGTTATGAGAAGCAAAGGCATCAATATTCGTAGCAGGCTGGCATTTGGGAAATGTTTCATGGTCACTAGCATTACTATCTTTATATATTGGCAGTGTACTAAGCCTTTTTGCACTTTCCATTCTAAATGTGTCTTTTCAAGGATTTCTAGAATTATGAAACTATCTTTGATGCACAATTAGAAAAACCACAAATTTTGAAGGAAATGAATTAGCAAGAGAATGTGACCTATTCCAGTGTAATTTGACAGTAAAATCTGACTTGAGGTGACATGATTTATCACCCGTTGGTATGAATATGCACATATTTTGCTGAAAAAAATTAGATGCTGATTCACTATATTCTGCCGCATCTCTATGTACAAGTGTTGCTGTGTGCACCATGAGGTCCAAGGGTTTCAAGTAAGGGATTATGTGCCTGAACTGATACTCATGAGCATTCTAAATGCTTTAATTTACTTTACAAATGCAGAAACAATTGAAAAGCTTACTTAAGAAAATCCTTTATAAAATCACTTAAGCTTAGCTATGTTGGTGGCCCCATGTAGGCTGTTGACCTAGAGTTCTTGGCACCCTGCCCCGTGTCCACTGGCGATGGATCCATTAGACTTTAACCCTATTGGCCTATGATCTCCTTCACCTTTCTGCACCATTGGCCTGCCTGCAGCTACAAGAGTCTGCAGAGGGTTTGCGCTAGCATCTCTCCTGTGGATTTGATTTGGACTGGGCCTTCTTGATATAAAATTACTTCTTCGTATAACATGCTTATACATTAAAAAAAAGTTCTGCTTTCCCTTTGAGGATCTAAGAAGCGACCCATTGGCATAGTGGATTATGCATTGGGCTGCTAACCACAAGGTCAGCAGTTCTGCTCAGTTTCTGCTTCTGTAAAGAGGCACAGCCTCCGAAGCCCACAGACGTAGCATCCCACAGGGGCGCTTGGATACAGAATCCACTCGAGGCCAATGAGGGTTTTATGAGGACCAACAACCAACCTACATGGAATCGGAACTTAAGAAATAAAATGATGTATTGCATTGCACAAATCTGCTGCAAGAGACTAGCATTTATAAAGTGTGACATAGCAAAAATAACACTTTGAGAGTGAAGGTGCACCTGACCCAAGCCATGGTATTTTCAACTGCCATATGAATGAGAAAACGGAGCAATGATTAAGGACAGCCAAAAAAGAATGGACACCTTTAAGTCATGGTATGAAAAAGAATACTGAATATACAACAAACCGCCGGAGTATGCACAAACCTGTGTTGGTATATGGACAGCCGGAATTCTCTGTAGAAGTGAGAATGATGAAGCTTCATCACACATAATTTGGATGTGCTCTCAGAAGGGACCAGTCACCGGAGAAGGACATTGTGCTTGGTAAACGGAAAGTCAGCAAATGGAATGATGACTCTCAATGAGTTGACTTGCTCCGGTAACTGCAGCCATGGGCTCAAAGATCGCAGTAATTGTGAGAATAGCACAGGGCCATGCCGTGTTTCATTTGCTGTATTTGGCATCACTGTGCATTAGCACCAACTCGATCACACTTAACAACAGCAATGATGCCTGTGGACAAAGTCCGGGTGGTGCAATGATTAAGCACGGGGATAACAATGAAGTTGGAAGTTCAAACTCCCAATGGCTGCATAGAAGAATGACCCAATAATCTGCTCCTATAAAGATTGTAATGTATGAAAATGCTCTGACACTGTTCCTTTGTCATATGGAGCTGCTGTGCGTCAGTCGACTTGACAGTTAATAACAACAGTAACAAGATGACCGAGGAGTCCTTGGGGACTGCAAAGGGTTTATGTGCTCAACTGCTAACTGCTAACAAGCCACCACTGACAGCCTATGGAGCCCCGCTCTCCTTTGGCACACGTGGGCTCAGGAAGAAGTTGGAGTTCACTCCGCAGCAATTGTTTTGCTTCTCATACCTGAGTTCCCATCACTCACCATTTGCTGGATACCCCGGTGTGAGAGGGTCGCCTGCACCATTAAGATTTAAGATATTTCCACGCTGGACACCATCTCCTGGAAGATTCCAACCATCTGGATAGGGCTCAACCCCAGGAGCAAAGTAGTCAGCTGGGTCTGAATACAGAATGACACCTTTGGCACCTGCCAGCTGGGCGTTTTTAACCTGCAAAAGTTATTTTTTTTAATACAAGTTAATTGCTTGAGATCTTTGACTGCCATTGAGAGTGATGCTATGGGAAAGGGTAGAAATGCCCCTCTGGGTCTCTGAGACGCTAACTTTGTTTTGTTTTTTTAAATAAACCATTTTATTGGAGGCTTTTACAGCTCTTATAACAATCCATATATCAATTTGTACTTTTAAAACATTTTTATAAATCATTTTATTGGGGGCTCATACAACTTTTATCACAATCCATCCATCCATCCATTGTGTCGAGTACATTTGTACATTTGCCATCATCTTTCTCAGAACATTTTCTTTCTACTTGAGCCCTTGGTATCAGCTCCTCATTTTTCCCCTCTCTCACCCACCCTTCATCTCTCATGAACCCTTCATAATTTATAAATTATGATTTTTCCATGTCTTACACTGTCCCAGGTCTCCCTTCACCTACTTATCTGTTGTCTGTACCCCAGGGAGGGAGTTATATGTAGATCATTATGATCAGTTCCCTCTTTCTACAGCACCTTCCCCTTCCCCTCCTGGTAATTCTACTCTCATTATTGGTCCTGAGGGGTTTATCTGTCCTGGACTCCCTGTGTTTCCAGCTCTTATCTGTACCCATGTCCATTCTCTGGTCTAGCCAGATTTGTAAGGTAGAATTGGGATCATGATAATGGGCAAGGAGGAAGCATTAAAGAACTAGAGGAAAGTTGTATGTTTCATTGGTGCCAAACTGCACCCTGACTGGCTCGTCTCCTCCCTGCGACCCTTCTGTAAGGGGATGTCCAGTTGACTACAGATGGGCTTTGGATCCCCACTCGGCAGCCCCCCCCGCCCCCCCCCCCAGTCATTCACCATGATATGATCTTTTGTTCTTTGATGCCTGAGACTCTTAACTCTTTACAGGAGTAGAAAGCCCATGTCTGGAATCAGTAATTTCCAAGATTACACTTTAAAAGTAGCCACATATCATCTTTATTCTTTAATTGTAAAGCCTACATAATATCTCTCAGGAACCAAATTGATATCCCTCGCACCCACACCCACTACCAGCTTTAACAGCTGGGTTCTGAAAGATAGACTTGACCCCATGGTGGTACTGTGGTTAGTGCATTTGCCTGGAAACAAGGAGGTGGAAAGTTTGAATCAATTCGAGTACCAACTGCCCGGCAGGCGAAAGATGAGGCAATCCATTTTTGTAAAGATTTACAACCCTTGCACAGCTTTTCTTAATATGATTGAACTCACATAAATCAATTTATATGACATGTGAATTTTATGCTAATAAAACTGTTAACAATTTAATAACAAGATTTACAGCCTCAAAGAATCTTTATGCGTCAGAATCAACTAAATGGCAGTGAGCTTAGTTCTGGTTGTTGAGCTGGCCTATCTCTTCAAGCGGCAGGTTTGGGAACATTCCCACCTTAGTTTAGTGAGTATTTGCTCTTTCCTCCAGTGATTTAGAAACATAATATGCAAGGAGACTACACTAGCCAGATTCTCTATTTTCCTATGGCTGAAAAGGGAGCAATATATTTAAATTTTAATTCCCCATTTAAATAACAGAACAAGTCAACAAATCAAGTTAGAGACATTTTTAAAACTGTTACATGTAAATAAGTCTCCTTTATTGCTTATAATAGCAACTCATATCAAATTAGGAAATATGCCCAAGATAATATTTAAAATAATGGTACTGAAAGTTGACAGGAAGCCCAGTGCATGAACAATCTGCTGACTATCAACTTCTGCGTTGGTCAAACACCACTGTACCCTTTGAATTATCCCTGTAAACTAGTAAGGAGGGAAGGCCCTCAACGAGATGGGTTGACACAATGGCTGCATCAATGGGCTTAGGTAGAGGAACAATTGTAAAGATGGAAGAGGACCTTGACGTGGTTTGTTTTGTTTTGTTGTTGGCACAGGGTTGCTATGGGTTGGAGCCAACCTGATGGCACTTAACAACAGCATGAACTATTAATGGATCCTTTCCCTAAGATGGGAATTTTGCAAAGTAGGAGAGGATGGTGGTCCTCAGAAAGCATTATGGAAATAGTTCTCCAACACAAGATACAATGTAGCTTTTGCATATTTGAGGCAGAGAGAAGAGAGAGAGACTATCTTACCTTATTTCCTCTGAAAATTTTCCCATATCTGGCAATGACAATCTTTCCAGAGCAACTGATTCCCATGTCCCGCTCCAGTTTAAAGAAGTCTTCAGTCCGTGCATAGTTAACATACACTAGATCGCCCTATTGAGAGCAAGATGATTTAGTACAAAGGAGTTTCTCAATAGGAGGACTGTTTCACATCATCGACAGGGGCAAGAAGCAAGAGCACTCACAGAGGCAGAGGGCACATATCATATACGATGTTCACAGAAGGAATTAACGTAGAGTCAAGAAGATAAGTGGATGGATTAGCACAATGTGAATGAAATCATCAGTCCTTGTCACAGTGTCCCCAGTGGTCAGTTGCTGTGAGTCTCTTCCAACTCCCGGTGATCTCTGGAGAGCACAAAGAAAGCTTGCTCGGGCCCGGTCCATGATGCTACCTTTTGGTACTGTTGTGAGGATTTTGATTTTCTCTACATGAAATTATGATCCATATTGAAGGATGCAGTCTTCGATCTTCCTCAGTATGGACTTCATGGCCTCTTCACTTGCAGCCAGCAAGGTTGGGTCAGCTTCTGATCGCAGGTTCTTTGTGAGCCTGCCTTCGATCCTGTGTCATGTTCTTCTTCATTTAGTCCAGTTTCTCAAGTTATTTTCTGAGAATACAGATTGAATAAGTATGATGACAGTATATACAACCTTGACATACACCTTTCCTTATTTTTAGGTCTTAGGTAAGCCAAAAATGTGGTTTAACCTAACAAAATTTTATATATTAACTTGTTGAGATTCAGAGATGCTAGAAGACTTGGACATTATCATACTATTAAGTCGAAACCAGACCAAATATACTAGTAATTTCTTACTTTTCTACCATGCCCGTTAGATGATTATTTATTAATGTTCTCTCAATTGTTTTCGGAGAATTTTCATCAAAGCTTCTTAACCTGTTGTTAGTTGCCATCCAATCGGTTCCGATCCACAGTGATCAATCCTATGCACAAGAGAACAAAACATGGCCCTGGCTTGCATGATCCTTCTGGTTGTTCCTGTGCCTTACCTCACTGCGTCAGTCCGTCTCCTGGAGGGCCTTCATCTTCGTCACTTCCCCTCCACTTTACCAAGCACGATGTCCTTCTCCACGGACTGGGCTCTCCTGACAATATGTCCAAATAGGGAAGATGGAATCTTGCCATCTTGCCTCGAAGGAGCGCTCTGACTGTATGTCTTCCAACACAGATTGGTTTGTTCTTTTAGCAGTCCATGGTAATTTCAATATTCTTCTTCAGCACCACAATTCAAATGCATTGATTCTTAATCTAGCATGCCAGAATTCCTTGAAATTACATATAGCTGTGTGGGTATTAAAAAAAACAACCACATCTATAGCTTTTTAGCCATTACATATCTATACAGAAAAGTTTAATTTTTTTTGTATCATAATCAATGCTCATGGAAGCAGCAGTCAAGAAATTAAAGTATATTTTGCCCTGGGCAGTGAGTGAGAATGATAACGCTATATATGTCTGGTGAACAATTGGTATGCATCTGTACAACTCCTTAATTAATTTGAACTGTGGCTACAGTGGCATTAGTCAATTTGATTACAGAAATTGTACTTTTCATGTAAGTGTTCTACTTAGAATTTATCTTTGCGGGAGACTATTTTTTTAGATGTCTCTAAATTGTGGCTATATATTGATAAAGTAGCAATCCTGAAAGACGAACTATGATGTAGAAGAAACTGGAAAAGTTATTAGTTAAAAAAAAATAACAGCACACTCTGAAAATGAAAACAAGCACGATAGATAGGCCCGCTCAGCACTTTTCAACTGCAAGTTGTCACTGTCAGTTAGAAAAAAAGCTTTGTGTTCAGACAATGACCTTCTTGTATACTTTACACCATTGTTCTCTGTTAGGGAATGAATACAGTCTTTCACTGTTAACCTGGAAGTTTTCCTGTTTCTTTCAAGCTCTTATCTTCCTGCCCTTGTTAAAAAAACAAAACAGAATGAGAGACAAGATCAGTGGTTTTCAAAACATAATTCTTGAACCAGCAGATCACATTGCATATTCAATGAAAGTAAGTTGATTCCGATTCATAGTGACCTCACTATAGGACAGGGTAGACCTGCCCCTGTAGGTTTCGAAGGCTGTTATGTCTTTACGGGAGCAGAAAGCCTCATCCTTCTCACCCAACAGAATCCACTGCTATGGAGTTGATTAAGACTCGTAGAGAATCTATATTAGAGCTTCTGAGGCTATAAGTCTTTATGGGAGCAGATGGTCTTATTTTTCATCCGAGAAGCTGATGAGTTTGAACTGCCAACCTTGAGGTTAGCGGTCCAATGCTTACCTGACAGTGCCCCCAGGGAACTCAGCAGAAAAAAGAGTCATGCATTTTCAAGAGCACATAAATGTCTAAGGACCTACCTATATTACGGTGCGTGCAGTGGGGAGGGGAATGAGATTGACCATAGGAATTGGAGATGAAAATAAAATAAAAGAGGAACCTCAAGTGAATCCCTGATACTGGAGCGTCTTATCCTGAGAACGAAGACCCAGTAATCTCAGTATGCCTGAGGACTAAAATATATTGTCTCTTGATTTCAAATTATTATACTCTTTATTCTTCTTTCATGCCTCATTTCACTGACCAAAATATTAAACAATTATTAAATGCTTATATGACTAAAAGCATTCTTATTATATGTTTGTGTTTAGGGAGAATTCTCTAGTATATTAGAACTAAATATGATGATGCTTCATTTCTAGTAAATTTCATTCCATCAACAAAAAACACACTGCAGGATTTAAAAAAAATTAGTGATGAGTTGATAAAGCAAATGCATTCAAAAAACAGATAAAGTGTTTTTTATCTTATATCATTAAAATATATTATTCTCCAATATTAATAGCAACTTTGTGTGCATGCAGTGGATTATATTTGGCAAAGAAATATTTCTATACATCAATTAAAGTCTACAAAAATATTTTACTAAGGTATTATAATGACAGTCAGACCATAACTTTTTTATTAAGTAAAAATTAAATATACCCAGTTATATAATAACAATTCCTTGTGAGTGTTACCTAAGCATTTCCAATACAGCACATACAAAATAAAAAATACTTAATCTTGAATGTTATTTTAGGAAAGAGGAATTTTAAGAAAGAGCAATAAATTACTATTCAGCCTTCTCAAATTTAATTTTTTTCACCAAAAACAAAGTACTGGGAATGAATCTGCAGCTTGACTGTAAAATTTCAGATAAGAGAAATGCACAATACTTCATTAAGTGAGCCACATAATATTTTCCAGGGTGGACATTCATGATTTTTAGCCAAAATTGGTAGCTGCACCTTAGTTTGAAAATGGAATAGTGTTCTGCAATTGCGGCATACTATGTAGTAGGTACATGTGATGAGAGGTGTGGCAGTTCTTGTGAGGCCCCATCAAGTTGGTTCTGATCGATGGTGACCTTATGCACAACTGAACGAAACACGGCCTGGTCGAGGTCCTTGAGAACCCCCTCTCCTTTTGCTGACCATCTTGAGGGACTCTCCTAACGATGAAGTATACAAGATGAAGTCTCATCCTCCTTGCCTTTCACGAGAACTCTGGTCATACTTCTTCCAGGACAGACAGATGTTTTGTTGTTGTTGTTTTAACAGTCTATGGTATGTTCAGTTTTATTCTCCAGCACCACAATTCAAATGCATTGATTTTTCTTCAGTCTTCTTCATTCAGTTTCCAAATTTCACATGCATGTGAGGCCATTGAAAATACTATGGCTTGGGTCAGGCGCATCATAGTGTACAGAGTAACAGCCTTCCTTTCAATACTCTGAAGAAGTCTTCTATTGTAGCCTTACCTCATGCAGCGAGTCTTTTTATCTCTTGACTGCTGCTTCCAGGAGCATCGATTGTGGATCCAAGCCAGACACTGTCCTTGACAAGGTCACCTCGTCTCCATTTATCATGATGGTATGTGTTGGTCCAGTTGTGAGGATTTTGGTCTTCGTTTACATTGAGCTGCAATTCTTGATCTTCGTCAGCAAATGTTTCAAGTCTTCCCTCACAGCACGCAAGCCTGTGTCATCTGTATATCTCAAGTTTTTAATATGCCTTCCTAACAAGAGTTACTCAGCAGCAAACAGGGCTAAACCCTTGATAAATGCATGTAAATCTCAGAGACATTATGGTTGGCGGAACAACCTGAACCTGCTATGTCAATCCACCTATATGAATTTCTTAGAGCAGGCAAAAACAGTTTTTGGTACCAAAAATTTCAGAATTTTTGCCTATAGCAGGTGGAATCACTGGCAAGAGATGGGGCAACTCAATGCAGTGATGGTTATATTCTATACATTGGTAAAGGTTTGGCTCACACAGGTTTAGGTGTTTTTCAAATGCCAGTAAATGTAAACTTGGAATTTGTATAATTCATTGTAGCAAATTTCACCTTTAAAGAACAACTATTTTTAAAGATCAACATATATTTTTGTACTAAATAACAGACCCTGAAGAAGAAAAATTAAACCAGAGAAAAGCAGTGATCAATAGAGATTATAACAACTTGTTTAAAAGTAAAACACAATGTTTCTAAGTTCATTTTGTGGAAGACATTAAATGTTAATAGTAAATTTACCTGAAACCAAGGCAAACCACGCCCATTGCCATAGTCAATTCCAACTAACAGTGACCCTAGAGGTCAGAGTAGAACTGCTTCGGAGCTTGCCAAGGCTGTCAATCTTTTTTTTTTTTTTTTTAACATTTTATTAGGGGCTCATACAACTGTTATCCCAATCCATACACACATCAATTGTGTAAAGCGCATTTGTACATCATTTCTCAAAACATTTTCTCTCCACTTAAACCCCCGACATTAGGTCCTCATTTTCCCCTCCCTCCCCGCTCCCCCCTCCCACATGAGCCCTTGATAGTTTTTAAATGGGTATTTTGTCATATCTTGCCCTGTCCGACGTCTCCCTTCACCCACTTTTCGGTTGTCTGTCCCCCAGGGAGGAGGTCACACACAGTTCCATGTAATCGGTTCCCTCTTTCCTACCCATTCTCCCTTTACCCTCCCTGTTTTGCCACTCACACCACTGGTCCTATAGGGCTCATCCGTCCTGGATTCCCTGTATTTTCAGTTCCTATCTGTACCAGTGTGCCTCCTCTGGTCTAGCCAGACTTGCAAGATCGAATTCGAGTCATGGTAGTGGGAGTGGGGAGGAAACATTTAGGAACTAGAGGAAAGTTGTATTTCTCATCATTGTTACATCTCACCCTGGCTGGCTCATCTCCTCCCCTAGACCCCTCTGCAAGGGGATCTCCAGTGGCCTACTAATGGGCTTTGGATCTCCACTCCGCACTCCCCCCATCATTCACTATGGTAAGGTTTTTTGTTCTGATGATGCCTTATACCTGATCCCTTCGACACCTCTTGGTTGCATAGGCTGGTGTGCTTCTTCCATGTGGGCTTTGTTGCTTCTGAGCTTGCCAAGGCTGTCACTCTTTATGGAATCAGACCATCACATCTTCTTCCCATGGTAAATTCAAATCACCACTCTCAATTAAAAGCTGAGAGCTTTAACTACTAGTCATCAGGGATCCTAAAATCAGGTCACTGCCAGTTAATTATTCTCTGCATCTAAAGGAGAAGCTTTCAGTTCACTTTAGCTTTACCTCTGGCATTCCTTGTGGAGAGAAGGCACTGAAAGGTGGCACAACATCTGAAACATTTTCATATCCGGGAGGAGGTGGTTCAAATAGCGATGTGTTGAAAAGCTAAGGAAGGAGAAAGGGATAGAAGCAAAAATAAATAAGTTAAGGTTTGAATAAGTCTTATTGTACTATAATCAAATAAGGACAAATAGTTATTAGCCTTTCCCTCCCTAGGAAGTTATTTATCCTGCAGTGTTTGGAGAATTCCTATCAGGAATTCAGCATTGTGCTACAGGCTGTAAGGAGTTTATGAAACAAATACATTACAGCATCTATCCTCAAAATGGTACACTCTAATTCGAGGGGAATCGCTAATGAAGGAACATATTAGAAAATCATTGAATATCAAACCATAAAAACTTTATGCATAACTGTAAGAGAAATTCCGAAAAGTTAAAAGGTACTTATTCAAAGAGGAATGTCAATATATCCTAAAACAACACCAAACCAAACTCACTGCCATTGTCAATTCTGACTCACAGTGACTTTGCAGGGCAGGGTAGTACTACCCTTTTGGGTTTTCAAGACTTCAAATCTTTTTTTTTTTAATTAAATTTTTATATGGAATAAAGTACTTAGATATAAAATAAAGTAGCTCTTCTCCACCCCCAAGAAGGATATCCAGTTGTTCTATTACCATTAGACCATCATTTCCCCCATTGGAAATAATAGCATCTTCTCTGAAATCAATTGATTGTGTAAGGAGTGGCCCAGTTCCAGACTCGTTGTTCCAGTGATTTGTCTTGATTGTTGTCATTGTGTCATGGCACCCAGTCCTGCATCATCCTCACAATAGGCATGTATGTTGGAGCCCATTGTTCGAGACACCAAGACTTTAAATCCTTAGGAGAGTAGAGAGACGTTTTTCCCCCAAGTGCTGCAGGTGGGTTTGAACCACTGGCCTAGAGGTCAGCAGTTCCCTGCATAGTCCGCTATGCCACGAGGGCTCCTCACTCTAAAGGAGGGGAGCATAAGGCATAGTAGCAAAATGGGATACTTCTAAATGGCTAATTACTTAACAGAAGCCAAATACATGAAACTCCTTAGTTTTTTAAGAAATGATAAGCACCAGGCTTTTTTTTTAATTTAGAAGAAATATTTTAATGCTAAAATGTCACCTGTAACAGCACTAAGTTGAGATCAAACTAATCTTTTGTTCAATTGAGTAAAAATTACATATTTGATGGTTCCATATCTGACAGTTTCAAATAATCTTAGCATGCATGTTCCAAAGAAAGAAATCCTGAATAAAGTATTTTAAGTATGTCATTGAAGAAGGAAAGCATAATTATCAGGGTGAAAGGCATGGAAGTAGACCACCTGCATTTGCTCACTGGTGTCTTTGAGTGGGTTCAAACTACTAGCCCTTAGGTTTCTAGTCAAGCAAAAACATTTACACCCCACTCCCCCGGGGATCGTGGGGTCAGAATAGGGGGATGAAACAGAGACAAACCATCATGATATTATTAGGCAATACTGAAACATGAAAAGGAGTCACGGTGGCATGGTGGTTACATGTTCGACTGTGATCCAAAAGGTCAGCAATTGGAAACCACCAATCACTCCAAAGAGGGAGCTTTGTCCTCCTGTAAAGGGTTCCTGGGTCTTGCTATAATTTGACATTGATTCGATGGCAGTGAGCTTAGAGTTAGGAAACATGGAAAGGAAACCAAAACCATGTTATTAAAATAAACAGAGGTAAATATCCAGTCACTTAAGAGCTTAATTTCTACAAGTCAAGAGTTCATGTAGTGCAATTCACAGCTAGCCTATACTTGTATCATTTCCTTTTCTTGATGGTGTTTTAAATTCTATACCATTGGCTAAATTGACACTATCAACAGAATTACCTTATGCTCCAGGGAGATGATTTATAATGTTCTCTAAGATAAAATGGGAATGATGTCTCTAAAATGAACCAGAGACATATATAAACCATGTATATATATGAATGGATTTGGGCTCACATTTAATTCTAGCCCCAATCTAAGAACAATTAGGTCTTATGACATGACCCTGCTTGATGCTTGCCCTCATGAAGAGGTCATTGTAGATATGGGTGCTATAGCAAAGTGTTGTGAAGAAACTACATGCTGCCTGGCTATCAGAAAGAATAGTGTGTCTTAAAGAATTATCTTCAAACAAGCAGCTAAATGATGCATCAACTAAATCCAGATAGAAGAAGCACACCAACCTGTGTGAGCCAAGGACTGTATATTTTAAAATCCAAATCCAAAGTAGTGAATAGTATTAGAGCTTAAATTGTGAACACCTGGTTTGCAGAAGACTCTGGATGACAGTAGAAGCCCAAATTCCATCTGCAGCGTCTACACATAAATTAAGCCTCTGGTGAATCCCCTCTGACCATAGTCGAGGGATATAAATAACCTTGCTATCAGAGAGCATTGTAAAGTCAATTATGGCAGATGTCATTAGATTAAAATGTAATGTTTTAAATATCTTACCATTTGATCTTCCTTTTGATCCATTTTAAAGTTGTTTCAGTTAACAACAACAATAAAGTAATGGGAAATACATGTGGACTAATCCTCTAGTTGAATCCTTCCTGACCAGACCAGGGATCTGAATGGTCTTGCTATCATGTAGAGGGCATTGGAGCATGGATCACTGCAGATGCAGCTAGGTTAAAGTGCAACACCATATCATTTGATCTCCCTTTGCTCATATAAATTTTGTTTTAATTTTTATATACTTTGTTGTTTTTTTCTATTGAGGTTTTCCTCTGTTCTACGTGTTATTGTTGCTAGGCTTCTTTTGTTGCTCTGTTTTTCTGTCTATGAAGTCAGGATGACAGTAAATCCATGGAGACAGTCACTGGATCTCTGCTTTCCAGGGATACGGCCAGTGAGGCTGGGAGAAATGGAGAGCTAATAGCAGTAGGTCCAGGAAAGAAAGCATGTTCTAAAAGTAATTGTGGTGACGAATGTACAGCTCTTCTTTTATGATTGAGCTATTGAATTGTATGAGATGTGAATTATATGACAAGGAAACTTAAAAATTCAAGTTAAGAAAGTATCAAGTGACAATCGTAGAGCAATTGCTTAAGGGAAGGGAAAGTGAAGGAAGGCAGGAAGGCATTTTGGGGAATTATGTGATTCTTTAGATGTAGATGTGACTTGGATAAAATAAAAATCAAGTCATGATATACTTTTAATATTTTCAGAAACTTTAAGCAGCTGAGACCCTTAGGGAGAAACTGCTAAGTGAAACTTCCACATGATACATTTTATATTAAATGACAAACTTAATGTATTAAATAAATGCTCATAATAGTAAAAGGGGGAAACATAAAATAATAAAAGCAATAGTACAAGAACATTGGGATATGAGGAAGGAAAGAAGAAGAAAATTGTATGTTTTTTATTTTCCTCATCGACAAAGATAATTCTTAAATTTGATGGAGCAAAACTGAAGTTTAATTATACATACATTTTTTAACATTATAAGCATTTTAGAGCGTAAGTACTTTTCCTAAACATGTTTTTTAAATATCTAATAGTATTAAGAAAGATTTTATAGTACTTAATTATTTAAATATCCCACCATTTACTTAATAAATGTTATGAATATTATGCAGCTACAATCTATTTTCCACCTAATTTTCACAAATACTTGTTACAGTTTGAAACATTTAGTCACGTGGTCTAATCATATCAAATTATATGATCATTTTTTTAAAAGTTAAGTTGTTAACTACTATAATTTCAGATGTAATATAGAAATACCAATATGGAAAGTTTTAAATATTAGGAAATTTAGCAATAATTTGATCATTGATTGTAAATCATGCCAATGTATTAATCCTTAAGAAGAGAAAAATAAGTAACAAGAGCAATGATTGTCAAAATATTGTATTTTAAAATTATATATATGTACAAAGGGGCGTACATATAAAATATGTACATATATATTTGAATCACAGACATGTTCACTGACAATATTAACATTTTTAGAATTACATATATAATTTAGAAGGCCCAGTCATTAAAAAGAATCTATTTAACGAAATGGAATCCTGGTATGATATTGGGCTGCTAACCAAAAGTCAGCACCTTGAACTTGCTCCACCGAATAAAGATGAGCCTGTATGCTCCTATAAAGAGCTATAATCTCTGATACCCTCATGAGCAGTTACTATAATATATGGTCACATGAGTCACAATTGACTCTATGGAAGTGGATTGTGTTTTAATGTAATCAAAAGAGCTATTCTAAATATTTACATAATGAAAAGAGCACACTCATTGTCATTGAGTTGATTCTGACTCATAAAGGCCCTATGAAACAGAATTTGTTCCCGTAAGAAATAGCTGGATTTCTTGAATTATGTTTTTTTTAAGCATTTGCTTTAATTTGCAAACAAGATAATAAATTCATTAAAGAAGCTTCTAGAGATCTCCTCCATCCATTCTCTTCCAAACCATCTTTCTATTTCAAATATCCATAATACAAATTTTTAGTATACATTCTGGGCACATAATCATTTGACAGGCATTATTATTAAGCCCCAGTAAAAATCTGCTGATTCAAACTGTTCACCGAGTCTTTGAATTTCTTAGAAAAAAACTACAGCTCTAAGGAATTTTTTCACTCTGAACTGATTTTTTAAAATGTACCTTATTATAGATCTTTATAGGAGTAAACAGTTTCATCATTATTTTAATTGGTTGGAAGCTAATTAATGAATCATAGTCTATAGGATGAACATTGGTGTACAATCCTAAATTATACAAGAGCAACTGCCGTTAAACAGTAATTTCTCAGAATCTATCCAACATTGTATTAAATTATTAGAAAGTGATTAAAATTGGTAATGAGATGTTAAAAATATCATTAACAAGTTTTAGTAAAACTGGCTTTTATCAGTATTTGGAGATGGCGTCATGTATAAGAAAGTAATAGGTACTAGGAAAATGTTTTATTTATTTTTTTACCTCGTTTCCATCTTCATCAATTATTGAGATGTAGTTGGGATGAGTCTCATCAGGGTAAGACAAAAGGACATCATACTGGGCTAACTCAACAGAATCCAAGCCAAATGCTTTCCATTGGGATTGAATTTGCTTTGCAAGTTGATAGTTTTGTTCTGTTCCTGCTAAATGTGGTATCCGTGTAAAATTACTGGTGAATAAACATTAAAAGCAGTTAGAATCAATATTTCATCACTCTTCTCAATTAGCAACAAAATAAGGCAGATGTACAGTCCCGCCCCCCCCTCCCCCCCAAGGAGCAGCCGGTGTGTTTAAACTGTTGATCTTGTGGTTAACAACTCAATGGCATAGCCCCCTGGGCCACCAGGGCTTTTAAAGCAAATAATTAGTAGTGACTATTAATAGCAAGAGAAACTATTATCAAGTGGGAGAAGGAATGCTGGAGGTGCATTCAGACCAGAGTTCCGTGGTGTACAAATGATGGTTGGAAATCTGTAGATTACTGCAAGTAGTATTAATCTCTGTGTCTATGTGTTGATGGTAAACACATTCAAGTTCTGAGAAGTGAGAACAACTTCAAAATTGTCGTGGAAAATAAACAAGAACCTGGCTGGTTAGGTGTGGCAGTTAAATCATTTCATGCCAACTTGTTAAATAAGTTATAGGGGTGGAGTCTAGTCTGTCAATTAAGTGAGAGCCAACCATGCCTCTGTGTGGGCGTGGCCTTCTCCTGAGGATTCTGGGAACTCCTGTCTTCCTTCCTGGGGGCGGAACACACTCTCTCCCTTTGAGACATTCCTGTTGACAAGCCACATGGAGTTACGCTGATGGAGCCGAGACTTAGAGCTGGAGGAGCCATGTGGAGACCCATGCCAGTGCTGCAATGCCTCCACTGCGACTGGATCCAAAAGTGTTTACACCCAGTGGCCTGTGATCTTCCTGCATTTGGCGTCATTGCATGTGTGTATGTATGTATGTGTGTGTGTGTGAGTCTGAAGAGGAATTTATAGAATGGTATCAGACATATGGGCTCATCTTGGACTTATGGGCTTGGACTTGGCTGGGATGCTTTCTCAATATAAAATTTCTCTTTGATATAAAGTTCTCTCTTACACATATATGAGTGTCACTGAATTTGTTTCTCTAGTTAACCCAGACTAGAACATTAGGTTTTGCTCAGTAGTCCAGAAAGGGAAGGAGAGGGAGACGCTAATATTTCATCTTTGTGGATTATTAGTCCATGTCAAAAACTGGGAAAGAAAAAAGAAATTAACAAATGGTTCTGTCTAGGAGCACAAACTCTATCTCCTGGGCCTCTCCTTTAATTATACCTATTATACCTAAGTAAGAATGGAATAGAAGTCTCTGGGTGGTGCAAGTGGTTAATGTGTTTTCTCATTTACTGATAAGTTCAAGGTTCAAGTACACTCAGAGCCAACTGGGAAGGACTGATGATTTACTTCTAGACAATATCGAACACATTTCTACTCTGACACACATGGTTGCCATGAGTTGGAACTGACTAGACAGCAACCTACACGGATATGGTACAGAGGAACATGCGTACAAGAGGCAGAGGGGACGTCTTCACAGAGATAAAGAAGTTTAAGCTTTTTGATCTCACACTTGAAAGAGATTTTTCCAATATTCCAATAGATTCCCAGGCCAATTTTTATACACAATTTATATTCTGTTATATATTAATAAAGGTACATATTATCTTTTTATATAAAATTAAAACTTTATATATTCACTAACATATTCTTCCTTCAGTCACTATAAATTATTCTAAGTATTTTTACATATACTTAGAGAAGTTCAAGTTTTTCTGGATAAACACATTGAACCAATTTATTTATTTTATTTTTTGAACCAATTTATAAAAACAAAATAGAATGTTATACTTTGAAAACCAAGTACTCTAATTAATTACGTGCAATAATTCTATACAAATATCCACTCATTGCCATAGAGTCATTCCTGATTCATAATAACTCTGTAAGGCAGGGTTGAACTGCTCCTGGAGATAATTGAGGCTGCAAATCTTTACAAAAATAGAAAGCCTCATCTTTCTCCTATGGAGTGGCTGGTAGATTTGAACTGTTGACTTTGCAGTTAGCAGCCCAACTCCTAATCTACTACCCTGTTTCCCCGAAAGTAAGACATTCCCCGAAAATAAGACCTTACAGTGTTGCCTCTTACAGAAATATAAGGCATCCCCCGAAAATAAGACCTCCCAGAAAATAAGGCCCCCCAAAGCTACCGTAACACTGGACTCTGGACCATAGTGGCGGGCGCCACCACACAGCTTACTGTTGGCTGCAGCGCAGCCAGAGCAGACAGGAAGTGCAAGGTCTCTTTTAATAAAACAATAAACCATAAATGCGTACCGTATTCTTTTTCATGGAAAAATAAGACATCACCTGAAAATAAGACCTAGCACATCTTTGGGAGCAAAAATTAATATAAGACACTATCTTATTTTCAGGGAAACAGGATACCACCAGGGCATGGAATTATGACATCATTACTTTCTACATTATATTAATTCTATACAAATGTTTTACTTTTAGCAGTTTTATTTTATTTTGAACATTCATGTCTTTTGTTCTTCACTGGGAATAGCTATTTTAGAAAGCAAGGAGGTAACTTTTACAACATGCCACACCCATGCTCTCTTATTTCACTCTCACCGCAATATCATCATTATTCCTCTTCTCCAGATGTGCAGACTAGGGTTTGGGCTCAGGAAGTTTAAGTATTAGCCCAAAGTTACTTTACTGTCAATCACCGAAGATGCAATTTCAACTAGTCAGTCTGACTACAGAGCACATGTTTTTGCACTCCAACATACTATTTTCCTCTAAAACGATTCAGAAAACTGCAACCTATTGGCCAAATTTGGCCTACTCCCTGAAATTTTATTGTTCACAAGCTAACACTGGTTGAAAAAAATCCAAAGAATAATATTTTGTGACACATGAAATTTCAGTGTCCACAGGTAAAGTTTTATTGGAAGAGATACACTCATTTTAAAATAAATTTTCTATGTACTTTTGAGTGATACAACAACAAAGATAAGTAATTTTGACAACCTCTGGTCCACAAAATTTGGCCTTTTATAGAAAAAACATTTGCTGACTCCTAAAGAATCTATAAAAATGGAAGCTTAGTTAATGGTATTCCTTTCATAATATATAAAATTTTGAGTCAAAGCTTCTAAACGTAATTTTTTCCAACTAATTGACCACGCCAATTTTCAACTAAAGACTTACTATAAGAACTTCTTGATGTTCTCAGCTTTCAATTCATCCAAAAATATCTTCTTCATGTGTTGCTGTCGAGCAGTCATAGATTCACTGGAAGATTTTATAACCCAACCTGCAAAGTACATCCAAATAAGTGAGATATAAACCCATCCAGAGGTCCTATTTTTCCTTATGAAATATCAGTTCCTTACAAAACATCAATGATCTCTAGCATTCACTGATTTTTTTTTACAACTTTCTGCCTACTCCCATTAAGAAAAGAACATGCAGCCTTTTAAGAACTATCTATGTGGTATCAAACTGACAATAGCAAATCAAAAGATTAAATAAGAAGCTTATGTAACAGGGAGTTTATCTTAACAAATATGTGAAGATTCAGAAAAGGAGCTAAAAATCACAGCTTGAAGTTTGTAATAAATGTCACCAAATTGTATATGTACAAATTAATGGAGTGGATGTGCATTCTGCTGTATATATTCTTCAGAACAAAAAATTAAAATTATATTATTACAACATTAAAAAATCTTTTTAATAGTTTTATTGACATATAATTCATAAGCCATACAATTCAATGGTTCATTCACATTAACAAGAGTTGTGCAACCATCACCACAATCAATTTTACACTTCTTGTCTTGTACTCATTGTTGCTAGCACCCTATTTTCGTACAACTTCCCAGTGCCCCTAGAAAATTATTCATCCAGCTACTGTCTCTCTAGATCTACGTATCCCAGATCTCATATATAGAAAAACATACAAGACAAAGACAATGACAAAATAAAACACAGAAACCCTCAGTTAAAAGAAAGCAGAATACATTAAAAACTGGAACAGATTTAAATGAGCCGAAGGGAGATTAAATGATACAATGTTACATTTTAATCTAACGACATTTGCAATCATCCACTTTACAATGCACTCTGAGAGCTAGGCTATACGCATCTCCGGACTATGGTCAGAGGGGATTCATTAAGGGTTAGTCTGCATGGAGACCCTCCAAGTGGATTTTGGGCTTCCACTGTCATCCATAACCTTCTGTAAACTGGGTGTTCAGATTGAAGTTTTTAGTGATATATTGTGATCCATATATTGTGATCTGAAAATCCATCCTCAACTCAATTCAGCTCTCTGCCATCCAGTGGATTCCCACTCATAGCAACCCTAGAGGCAGGGTAGAACTGCCCCTGGGAGTTTATTGAAGGGGGAAGAAAGCCTCGTCTTTCTCCAGAGGATCGGCTGGTGGTTTTGAGCTGCAGACCTTGCAGTTAGGAGACAAACAAGTAGCCATGACACCATCAGGGCTCCTACAAAACTGCCCAATACATGTATTTTACTTTTCACAACAGTGCTTTAAATTCTGTCCCACTGGCTAAATGAAAGATAGTGTCCATTGAATTACCTAATCCCCATGGGGATGGTTTGTAATGCTCTTCAAACGATGGTGATGCCTCTAAAGTGAACCAGGGACATATATGAATGGATTTTGAGATCACACTTAATCGTAGCCCTAATATAAGAACAATTAGTTTTTATGACATGACCCTACTTGATCCTTGCCCTCATGAAGAGATCATTGAACATATGAGTCTTCTAGGGAAGTGTGCTGAAGAAATCAGATTATGCCTGACTCTCAGAAAGAATACTCTGTGGTCTTACAGGCTTGTCTTAAAACAGCGGTTCTCCATCTGTGGGTCGCAACCCCTTTGGGAGTCAAACCACCCTTTCACAAGGGTTACCCTATTTATAACAGTAGCAAAATGACATGAAGTAGCAATGAAAAGTATATGAAGTAGCAACGAAAATAATTTTATGGTTGGGAAGTCACCACAACATGAGGAACTATATTAATGGGTCATGGCATTAGGAAGGTTAAGAACCACCGCTATAGAGGCTCTATGAGTCAGAATCAACAGTCATGTCAGCGAATATGACTTTGGGTTGGTATAATGACTGCATTGTGAATATAAGTACATAAATTATTTCAAAACATTGATAGAACCTCAGACTTCAATTTCAATAGTTCTGGTTCGGAACTAAAGCAAATATGTGCTGAGATTTGATTCTAGGTGAAGTTAAAAAAATACTCACTGACTTCCAGTAAATTCTGATTCTGATGCTCAGCAATGCTACAGGAATAAACCCGGCCTTCCCCGTAGCATTTCTACGACTGTAAATCTTTATGGGAGCAGATAACCACTTCTTTATTCCTGCATGGAGTTGACACCCAATCATTTGCTTAGTGTTGGAGAGCTTAAGCATTGTGCCTCAAGGACTCCAGCAACTGAAGTAGGTTTGAGAAATTCAGAAACAGAAAACTATGGTGAAGCTACTATTCACCCAACAGCTCTCTCAGTAGTCCAGTTCAAGTTCACAGAGGAGTCCAGGGTCAAGGAGTGGTCAGATTATACCCAGTCTTTAGCCACTCTAAGGATGCTGGCTTTTAAACTGAGGGAGACAGGACACCATTAAGGAATTTATGCAGAGAAATTATATGACCACATGATAAAACGATTATCTCAATCAACACTGGACCAGCTTTCATGGGACTTCTTAGTCATTTAATCAAATTATCACACACATACACACACACACATACCACAACATATTGAAATAAATGGTGATAACCTAAGGGAAATATGATTCCATTTGAGCATCAAAAAGTCCAGACCAAAGCTGGACTACCTGGGAATATTTTAATTTAGTCCTGTGCACAGCATTCCAATTAGTTGCATCTTTTAACCATGCAACAATAAAGGAACTGCTCACACTCCAGCACAGTGCTAGCAGCTTTACATTTTATTTCATTGGCTGCCCCAATAATTTCCATGCAACTTGATAGTCATCATTAAGACAGGAGCATGAGGCTGAAAACAACCTGAGTAATTGATTCAAGGCCACTAAGAAAGAGGATAGGAGGCTATTGCACCAACAAAGATTTCCCATCTCAAAACCCCTGTCTCAAAATCCTGTCTTAACTACTGCATGGCAGGGGGGATCGTGGGAAAGAGAAGGCAGAGTCAAAATCAGAGTGAAAAAGTGTGAGCTTGTCTGTTGCCCTGATTTTCTTGGGAGTGTTGGGTTAATGCAGAAGCAGGACTCACGGGGCGATGGGAAAGAAAGATGTATTGGTAAAGCCGGTTTCGAAGTCCCCACAGTAAATCCCGACTCAAAGAAACATGAACCCAGTTTCCAAAGGTGCCTTTTTGTTGCTCCCAGGAGGAGAGGAAAAGTCCCCCTCCCCTTCCCCAAACCGTACTGCAGGACCCTGCCGCTTTAAAAATTAAAGTACTGATTTCTCTTAAGTCCTGTAAGGGTGCCATCTTCCTTAGTCCGATTGCAGGAATTCTCCCCTCTATGCCTAACCCTGGGCATCCACCCCACCGGTGTCTGGCCCGGAACCCAACCCTGCACAACCCTAGCAAACCCCACTCCAAAGTGGCTGCTCCGAGCCCAACGGGACAGGCCAGCCCACAGGCCACAGGGACATGGCTCTGCCCGTCCCTGTGGGCGCCAGGCTGGGGGCGGCAGTGCGTCCCTACCAAAGACGAAGCCAAGGAGGAAGAGGCCGCTGGCCAGCACCAGCGCCCCAGCACAGAGCCAGCTCCTGCGCCTCCGAGCGAGGGTCCAGTGGGCGTCCTGAAGGGCACTGCACATCCTCTTCGCTGTGAAGCCTCTCAGGGAGGCTCTCTCAACCAACGTGCAGCTGTGGCGCAAAGTCTTCGCTCTGCAAGGGCTCCTTTAAGCAGTTAATAACAGGAAGCCGCCCCCTGCCGAGTCTGGTTTTCTCCACCCAGAAAGTCTTTCTCAGTTACCCTGAGCCAATCCAAAGGCCTGGTCTGCCACCAGGCGATGGAAATCCAGCTTCTTTAGGGAGACAGTAAAGAAAGAAAGACAGAGAATGTCTATGTTTTCCTTATATAAAAGAAGGAAGGAGAAAGGGAGGGAGAGGCAGAGAAGAGAGGATGGAGAGAGAAAGAAGAAGCTGCTCGCCTCTCTCCATCCCCAATTTTGAGTCCTAGAAGGAAAACTAAGAATGCCAATGTGTGATAGAAAGATCTTAACTTGTATTTACCTTGTTTGCTTCCAGGCGAGTTGGTAAAATGAATTGACCAAAGCCACTACCAGAGTCAATTCTGATGCACAGTGGGTCTACATAGAACCTGTAGAGGCTGTAAATCGAGCTGGAACCGCTGACCTGGTTGTTAACAGGTAGCCACTGACCTGGCAGTTTCTTCTGGGCTCCTTTGGTATATTAGACTAAATCACGTCTAAAATCTTCCCCCTCCGCACCTCCCACCCCATGCTCTGAAAGTCTACTGAAAATTTTATCTAAAGGAAACCCATGAACGCCATGTTTAAAAAGCGATACTCACCTCCCACGCTGTTTTGAATAGGGAGGCAGGAGCTGGAGTCAACGTGAATTACCATATTAGCCTCCATAGCTCTTGTGTAAAGAGCACCCTGAATTGTTTCATAGGCCATCCGTATACAAAAGATGCTTGGCACTTTGGTGAGTAGTTAGATAGATAAATAGAAGCCCTGGTGGTGTTGTGCTTAATTAAGCTTTTGGCTGCTTACCTCCAGGTCAGCAGTTTGAAACCACTAGCCAGTTCCATGGGAGAAAGTCTAGACTTTCGACTCCAGTAAAGAACGACAGTCTTGGAAACTCACAGGGAGCAGTTCCACACTGTCCTATAGAATTGCTACGAGTCAGAATTGACTCAATGGCAGTGTGTGACATAGATAAATTAAAAGTAAACTGGCATCTCCTTGCCCTCTCAATGGGAGAAATGGTAGATTCTGGGAACTTTCTCTCTCTCTCTGCCTTGGTCTTCCTTTTGACAATCACGCGGACACTTGCTGAGACCTGGAAGAGCTCTCTTTCTCTGCTTCACTTTCCTGCTGTTGAGACACCCAGAGAGCTGGAGGCGTCCTTGGAGACCTGCGCCAGTGTTGAGGTGCTTCCACAACAATGGATCCGCAAGACTTTCTACCCATCAGCTTGTGAGCTTCCTGCATTTGACATCATTGCATGTGCTGTGTGAGTCTGAAGAGGAATTTATGAACTAGTATCGGACATATAGGCTAATATCAGACTTACGGACTTGATCTGGACTGGGCTGGGATATTTTCTCAATATAAAATTTCTCTTTGATATAAAGATGTCTCTTACACATATATGAGTGTCACGGGATCTATTTCTCTAGTCAACCCTCTCTAACACATTATGTACTTTGGGAGTGGAGTACTAGAGAAACAAATCATGAAGACTGAGAGTGGATGCTCGGTTGACCTCTGTTTTATGGCAGGTTTCCTTCTTTGGCCAGCCAGAGTCAGGTATGGCCATGCAGTTTAATGGAAAAGTTTAATGGTAGTTTTCTGGAAAAGACCTGGGAAGTGAAATTTTGATTCTTAGACATTACTTTTGGTTATTCCTGTCTGAAATGGCAAGAATGAATGTGATAAATGTAAATTTTGAGCTCAGGGGGGAAAATGGCCCCATGAATTTGTCTGAGACCATGCTGCCTAGTTAAAATGGCTGACAGAAGGCCTGGCCCTGGCTTGAGGCACTCAGCCAGAAGCCTAAGGCCATATGGGATAAGTTTAGATAAGATAAGATTGACTTTGACAATTTCAAGAATTGAGTTTAGGATCTGGCTGTACTAGATTTATACTGATCTCTTCTACTGATTGTTACTGATATGTGTATTAGAAATGACTATTGAAATGTAAAGCTATGGAAATGACTATTGAAATGTAAGTCGACTTGCCTTCATCCGTTTAATTTAGACTTTTAAATGGACATAGGAAACTCCTGCAAAGAAGCCTCTGAAAAAGTAAGCCCCACCCAGTGCTTTCAGTGCTCAGGACATTTTTAGTTGAAGTAGAGACTAGCCTAGGGGGCTGTTGATAGACTGAAGACAAAACCAAAAAGGGAATCCTTTGGCTTTTTGAATTTTGAACTAGTGATTTATGCCTGAAGCTGGAGCCATTTTCCTTTCTAGAACAGCATGCTAAAGGGAGCCTGTGGGCAACTTCAAATGCTTGCTTGGTGACCACCTGGATCTACTTGTTGAGTGGAAGTGGGGGAAATGCAGCAATAGAGAGATAGTTGAGTCTGGACACTGACATCTGTGGACCTGGCTCACAGGGACTAGAGGAGAAGACAAACGTGGGTAGGCCAATCTGAAATTCATGACGTAGCACAAGGGGACAAGGGTTGTTGAGAATTTGTGATGGGGCCCATGGTCAAAAGGTGTGGCAGCCAATAGGCACTATGGTGAGGCTAAGTGAGGTAGCCCACAGTGAGCTGACCAGAATCGGAACAGATGAAGATAAGATTTTTTACCCTGTGAATTGGTGCATATTGTTGATGACTTTATGGAAGGGCTGTCCTGATTTGACTTTGCTTATGGATGCGAATTCACAAGGTTCCAAATGGAATGAAGATTCTTCACACCAAAGAACCTGCTTGTCTACTAGAGCACTGGGTTGATACAAGTGGGCAGTATAGAAATTGGATACTCAAATTGGGGGTGGAGAGGAGAAGATGGGGTAAGCATGAAGTGGCTGGCTTACAAACTTTCATACTGGGAGCTTATATTCATTGGATTATGGTGTTGGTCTTTATATTTATTTCCCTATTTCCATGAGCACATAAATAGCCTACAGGTCTCAGTCTCACTTGAAGCTAGGTGTACAAATGGCCTGGGAGTGGCATCTTGTGAAAGGAGAACCAAAAATCAACAGCTAAAGGCTGATTTCTATGAGGCAGAGGCAAGACGTGCATTCTCCCTCCAATCTTTTTATCACTTTGGACACCAGCCTCCCTCCCATGGCACTCCCTACCTTTCTTCTGGCATTGCAATGGCCACACCCAAATCAGAGACCATATTCGTAACCAAACTCACCAAAATCACTTCCCTTGAGTAGATTCCAACTCATAGCAGAGTAGAACTGCCCCTATGGAATTCTGAGACTGTAAGTTTTTATGGGAGTAGAAAGCTTCATCTTTCTCCAAAAGAGCAGCTGGTGTTTCAAACTGCTGACTTTGTGATTAGCAATTCATTGTATAACCCACTATGCCACCAGGATTCTGATTATGCACATAGTTATGAGGTTTATTAGGGAAGCATCAGGTATCAGACATGACTTAGGATATAATTCTTTAATTGGAATAACTTCTCAGTTGTACTCACAGGCAAGCCTTCTTTTGGTCCTTAGCTGGATCCCTTGGCTTCTGCCTTGTTTGGGGAAAGGTTACAAAAGTTTTTTAGTTCCACCAATGAATGGCCAGAGGTACCCCGCTCGGCAACAAGCCTCCTGCCTGAAAATGTTCAGTTTTCTTGGTTCATGGACACAGAAGCCCACTACTGTGTTGTCTCTGCCAGTATTCTCGCTCTGCTGCTGTCACTTCTCTGTTGCCTTTCTCTTCTGCCTGTGTCATAGCTTCCTGTATGCTGGGTCTAGGAGGTTCTCAACACAGAGATCCTGGGTTCAAAGTCCATGCCCTACACTCAACTAGTCTTCTTCAGTCATGTTCCTGCTTCACTGCTCACTTCTTTTCCTTAATCTCTTATAAGAGAAAAGTGTAAGTCAAGCAAGGAAAGGGTTGTGAGCATGACTACAGTCATTTTGATTTTAAATCAGCCATGTTAAAGTATAATTCATTTTGCTTAGTGCTTTATACAATTTGCCATTGCCTTTCAAGTGTATGTTTCAATCAAGGGGGTTTGGAATTTACCATTCAGATCTTGTTTGAGGACAATTTGACCCTCCAGTTTGCCTGGTTATCATATAAAGTCTGGCAAGAGTCAGCCATCTGGAAAGCAGACATCGAGATAAAATGTTCATTTGGTTTGCTCACCATGTCCTCTGATGTTCTTGTGGTCTGTAATGTACCTTGAAAATTACAGCCCACCCACATGCAGAATGTGACTGCATAGAAAAAATGGTATAAACATTGTCTGTAAACTGAAATGAGCTGAGCACTTGTTAACCAGCATTGTTGCTATTGGATGTTCTATTAGTCAGACTTTCTAATAAGCACATTTTCTCTTGTTCTGTTCCATTTGGGCTCAATTGTCCCCGGGAAGCAAGGGTAACAACGTGACATCTGATGGTGGGTTCCCCTCTAGTTCCATCTTTTTAATGTCCCTTCCTAGGGAAAGGACAGACAGAGACAGGATAAGGATAGACTTATCCTTTCTTGGGGTTAGAAGGTCTCTAGTCCCTGCCCTCTCACCGGACCAGGACAGAAGAGGACTTCTGACATTTTACTTGACAGAGAAGAGAGAAGGACAGACACTGACAGGGTATGTACACACAGCAGTTCTTGGAATGTGTAGCCCTGCACAAGACACTGGGGCTTTGGATTCACATTAAATAATAGGTGTTAAGTCTTGTGAGGAAGCCCTGATGTGATCCAAGAATGAGGCACAATCTTTAAGGAGACCAGTGCGAGTTTGGCAGGTCAGTCTGAAGAAGGTTTCCTGAGTACCAAGAAGTTGAGAAAAGAATTGTTTTGTAAAAGGTTTTTCTGATTGTGATTCTCCTTGAGGCTTTCCTGATTTCAACAGCTCTTGCTCTAAAACCTACACATTTCTTGGAAATCTCCCTTATACTTTGTTTTCCTCTCATGAGCAGAAGTCTCTGAACCGTAAAGTAGTCAGAGGGTTAGCTTTCCAG